ACCCAGCAGACCAGGGAGACGCAGAGCAGCTTTTCTCGCCCCGTAGGACGCGGGCGGCGGGACCGCGGCGCATCTGGGCGTCCCGCTGCTCCCATCCGCTGGGTCGAGAAAAACCCCGTTCGTAACTGTGGATCCGACATAAGGCGGATCCAAGTAACTCGGGCACTGCCTGTATTCCTCTTTCCCCACAATTCAAATAATGCCCCAGCTCCAGCTCTGCAATATGTGAGCCATCAAATTACCAGTGATTTACAGGCTGAAATTCCACTCCAACAAATAATAGACGATTTGTAGAAGCAAGACTTTCGGTAGTCAGCAAACCCCCAGCAGGAGCAGCAGAGCTGGCAACTGCATGCCTGTCAGTCCATCAGCTATCCTTTACCATAATTTAATTAGTGACTTAACGACAGCTAAGGTTAAGTTGCAAATAGCTAATGTATTATGAGAAGTTCATGCATAGACATTATGTTTGGCTTTTTTGTACATATATTTAAAAAAATGTAATTACATTTAAATTAAAAAGTGAATTGGACAAAATAATGTAATTACTCATTTATAACTTTCTAAAAACGGCATCTCTGAAAGTAAACCAGAGTTTTTTTCTGGGCACTGTGGACTCTTAGTCCGAGGTAACAATTTTAATTATAAAAAGCAGCATTCTGAAAAACAGCTATTACTATTCAATAATAATTTCTGTGGCTATATTTTTAAAAAAGCATTGCAATGTTTTTAGTGAACTCAATCTCCTGTAATGTAACTGAATACAGTAAGGCTGTGTCTAGACTGGCAAGTTTTTCCGCAAAATCATCTGCTTTTCTGGAAAAACTTGCCAGCTGTCTACACTGGCCACCTGAATTTCCGGAAAAGCACTGACAATCTCATATAAAATCATCAATGCCTTTCCGGAAAAACTATGCTGCTCCCGTTCGGGCAAAAGTCTTTTTCCGAAAGACTTTTGCCCAAAAGGGCCAGTGTAGACAGCATAGTACTGTTTTCCGCAAAAAAGTCCCGATTGCGAAAATGGTAGATCTGGTAGATGTGATCTGAGTGCATTTGTAACGTACACAAAAGATACAAGAAGAAGTGATGCAATCCCTCCTCCCCACATAACATTTAGTTCAGGGGTTAGAGGATTCATTCAGGATGTGGGAGACTTAGATTCAACCTCCACCACCCTCAGCATGATGTAGAACAATTTCTTAAACTTAGGTTTCTCATCACACGGAGGATGTGCTAACTACTGGGCGAAGGGGATAGTGTGGGCAGGTCTCAATCTTTCCTGTTGGAGCTGTTCCAGTGTGTGAGCACTGTAGCTCTTAAGTCTCCCACTCTCAATTCCTGGACATTTATCAAAGTGGCCTAGAGAAATGAATGAATTAGATAGTTTATGGGGAATAATACATTGGTGTAATAATAAACATGGTTGTTTTTAGTATCAAGTGTAATACCTGATGCAATATCTTGAGAGACTGCACTCCTTCCTGGGAATGTGGTGGTAGGAAGAGACTTTGCATCCCTATTACATCAAACCTTGCTTAAATCATGTACAAATACTTGACTCCTGATATAATAGACATCAAATCTCTTTCTAGCCCTTGCTTACATTTAAATATTAGAAGTTTTAAAATGTGTTCCCTAAAATTACTGCAGTCTGTGTTTTTTGTCCACCCAATCCTGCCTGCAACAAAGTATATTTTACCCAGTCCCACTATTACAGCAGTGGGTCCTGCAGAAACCCAGTCCTGCTGCAGGAGCGTGCTCTGAACTTTTACAGTAATAAGTCTTTTTACCAACAGTGTCAGGCTTTGTAGCCTGTATGTGAGCGTAGCCACTCTCCATCAAGATCCTAAAGAGTCCCTTTTTCAAGAAAGGAAACATCCGCCTGACATCTTCATCCTGGAAACCAAAGAGTCCTGGGAAATAACGTCCCAACAGGATGGACAGCATCTGGGTAAATCTCATGCTCGTAACTGAAACCATATTTAAGTGAAGGCCTTTCACGTGGCTAAACACAATAAAAAATACAAATTAACAAAAACCGTACTTGGAAACTAAATTACAAGTATTTTCAATCCATAAATTTAATGCACTAGGTGCATTTTATCTAGTTCCAATCACATGGTTCTGTTGTAGCTCTAAGCATAGTTACCCCCCCTCAACTTTTCAGGTTCAAACTGCATGATGGGTACACAGCTTGATCAGTTTCACCGTTCAGTGGGATAATATTTACTGCACAGTCCACTGGACTCAACTCCAGAGGGAAGGGTTCAAAAGTCTCTTTCGTTACACCTGCTGGGTCCCTTGATAGACGTGATGTGCAGCCATGCCAAAAGTGTCACACAACTGGCCATCTTTATTTAAGCAAAGCCCAGGACCTGAACAGAAATGGTGATCCAGATCAGGACCATGTGCAAAGCAACATAGGGGAAAATTACACACTGCCCAGCTAAAGATAAGTCAGGAGACCCTCACAAGCACAAGCATTACATTCATAAAGGATACTCACCTGGGAGCTATCTGGGCCAGGTTGGTACAAATCAGCCAGCCCCAGTCACCACCCTGAGCATAGAACTCGTGGAATCCCAGCCTGAGCATCAGTTTATAAAATATGCAGGCAGCACTCACAGAATTAAAGCCTATGAAAAAAAAAAAAAGGAACTAACAGTTACCAACTGCCACACTGAATGGCCACTATTCTTTTAGAGATGGTGACTGTCAAAGTCCTAGGAGGTGAACAGCAGTTTCCCTGGCCTAGCTTTCCCCCCAGTGACACTGTTCCATGGGGGCTCCCTTCACCCCATTAAGGCGAGAGCTAGAGAGGGTTCTGGACACGGAGCAGAAACCAGAGGGGAGAGAACCCAATCCATTTCCTGTCAACCTTCCCCATGCATATGCTCTGCCACAGGATAGGTGGCCTCCCTGGAGACTATAATGCTGCTGTAAACTGGATTCTAAGGGGTATTCTTGAGCAACTAGCCAATTAGCCCGTCATAAAACGGGATTTTCAGGTCTCTCCTCCATGTCGGTCTTCTCTCCTGAGCCTCCAGTCTCTCGCTCCATCTCTCTCTCTCTCTCTCTCCCCTCCTCCTCTTCTCTCTCTCTCAGCTCTCCTTTGCCTCCTGCCTCTCTCTCTCACTTCTCCTTCCCCTCCTGCCTCTCACTCGGGGGACTGCGGAGTCCAAATGGCCGTTTGGGCTACGCGCTCCCCGTGCTGCATGGGGAGTGCGGAGCCCAAACGCGGGAGGGCGGCGCCCCCCCGCGGCGGCCTGGCTAAGCAGTGCAGAAGTCAGCTGAGTGCCACAGCGGGAGGCGAAAGGGAGCGGGGTGGTGACGTTCACGGCCAGGGGGCAGGGCCTGGAGCCACTGACATGCCACACATCACCGCCCCGCCTCCCCTCACCTCCCACCATGGCACTCGGCTGACTTCTGCACTGCTCAGCCAGGCCGCCACAGGGGAGCAAGTGGCGCAGGCGGCTGTTTGGGCACCGCCCTTCCCATTCAGCACAGGCTGCCCAGAGGGAACAGCCAGCATTTCAGGCAACAGCACAGCCCAGAGGGAACTGCCAGCATTTCGGTGTTACAGACTCTCAGACACTGGGCTACTATATATATGATGCCACTCCAACATATTCCCACAAGCAGGAGAAAACTTCAGGTTAGCCAGAGCTGGAAACTTCAAATGCTCAATAGTGATCCAGTGCTCCATTGCCATGCCTTGGATCATTTTCAGAATATACACATACTGTGTCAGTCCATAAACTTGATGCCAACATAAATCACACCTATATACATAATCAGAGAACTTGCCCAACTATCAAAGGCCAAACAAACTTCCCTTTTCTCTTGCCTCCTCCTCAAGCTGACTAGATGAATTAACACTTTGTGCTCTAATTGATAAATGACAGCACCCCTTGTTACAGAACACAGCAGACAATCTGAACTGATAAGGACTGCCCTTATTCCCTTCTTTAGAGGCCCCATGCCCCTGAACTAACAGACAGTCATTAAATTCTGCTTTCTTCCTCCAAGGTACAATAGTATCTTGTTTCTACATGTGTTTGAAATGACATTACCAAAATATATTTTTAGCTGCATTATCCTTTAACTGCTTTAGTTTATTTTTCACCATTTATGCTGTTTGCTTACTTTCTGTTCTTAACTGAGCTTGACTAAAGATACTAGATGGAATAGTTACAACTAAAAATATTCACCATTTGTGAGAGGAGGGGTTGTTTGTGTTTTTCATTTACTTCACAAGGTTTCTCTTCATATTAACTTTTATAAACCCCTTTCTGTTTTAAATAAATATCTATACATTGGCCCTAAAACTAAGTCATTTTAAAATCACATTGATTTCTCCACACCACATGGAACTGCCTTATTATCTGTAAAATAAATTATTTAACTATATTATTATTAACATAGTATCTCCTACTTTGAATAGAACATGAAATTACTATGGAAAATGCATGCGTCACTAAGGATTACTTTACCACAAGGAGGCTGTCTACTCTATTGGTATAGTTTCTAATCCACTCACAAAATACCTTTTTTGTGTGATGCTTCCGAGAAGCCATAGCCAGGAATTGATGGGCAAATGACCTCAAAAATATGTTCATCACTCAGGCCATAGCTAGTAGGGTCCGTCAAAAGAGGGATAATCTTGTAAAACTCATAGACTGAGCCAGGCCAACCATGAACCATTAACAGTGGCTTTGCAGAACGGCCCTCGGGCAAGCTGGGAGGCTTTACGTGAACAAAATGGACTTCGAGGCCTGTAAAAATAAATGAATAATTAAATAAAATAGGCAAAAAAGTGCTTCTAAAACCAATCATAGAGAACTGAGGGTTATTACTAAATCTGTTCATAAAGTATTTCTGATGATTGTAAAAACGGTAATTATTATAACCAGCCTGGCTATGGAACCTTTCATCTAAGTATCTGAAAGTGCTTTACAAATGTCAAATAAGCCTCATAACAGCCAACTGAGGAAGGCAAGAATTATTTCCAACAGACTGCCAAAATGAAGCACAAATGTTAAGTAATTCATCAAAAGTCAGACAATGAGTCAGTGGCAGGAATGGAATGCAGGAGTCTGAATTTCTACATATTTGAACTTGTTTTTTTATCATGTTCTGCTATCTATCTTAATATCAACTATTCACATGAAAATTACTCCTAGTGCATTTCCCGGAGTATCATGCCTTGGTCTTCTTCAAGTATAATTTTTAGACTATAAGTCCCTTTTAAGGCAACATATCTTTGCTGGATGCTACACAAGATAAAAGTACACTGTCAGTGCTTAAATAGAGGCACCGAGTTCTAACCACTAAATGACCCTGTCTCAGTTGGACAAATCTGGGATGTCTCTTAAGGTCAATTGCTGCATTTCTAACAACTTGCATTTATGGGCTGAAATTAAAAAAGGCACTTTCAAGAGGTCCCCTTTGATGTATTTAAATAAATAAATAAATAAATAAATAAATAAAATAAAATAAGCTAGCTGGCTCAGGACCACTGCAGCTCTGCATTATAAATGTAGTAAGAGCTGCTGGGCTCTTCCTACATTTAAAATGCAGAGGTGCAGCGTCCCAGACTGGCGCGAGCTGAGACTGCTTGGTCCCGGGCTCACGCCGGGTCCAGAAGCCTCTGTTCACGGTGGCCCAGGCTGGCTGCAGACAGAGGCTCCTGTTTCCCCCACCCTTTGCTGCCTTTCATACAGAGGCAGCAAGGAGGGGAAGCAAGTAGTCAAGAACTCCATTTGACTAATCAGTAAGTGTAAGCTTATCAGGTAGTTGAATAGTTGACTACTCACTTACATCCCCAATCAGTATTTGCTGGAATTTTCATTATAAACCTTTTAGAAATAGGCTTTACAACTGGCCAATTTTAAATGGCACTGAAATGATTCCAACAGACTAGATGTGATCTTTAAATTTTATCATGTGCTCTTTTTAGGGCACAGCCACGCACCCTCAATCTTAGTTTTGAATTGTGGGAATTTGTTGAGAACTTCCACTTGCTTCTTCCAGTTGAACTGATTTCTCCAGTAGGAGACGACCTTCCGGAGATAAATGGAGTTAAATCCATATTGGAAGCAACTGTTCTCCAGGGGTTCAGTGAATCGAGCCTGATCAAGTCTTCTAAATAAATCCTAGAGTAAACAAGATGAGAAAGAGGTTGAAGGATAATAAGACAAAGATACTATAGATCCTATGTGTTTTTTTGCTTGGCACCTTGCCTAGTTTACTGCCAGAAAAATAGTAACTGGAGTGAAAATAAAAATTCCTGTGATACTTGTGTATTTTACTGCAGTGCTGATGTACTTATTGAGCCCCCATGGATGCCGCCCCCCTTTTTCCCTGACAATAACATATTTGTCAAACTGTCATGGTTTTCCTTCTTCAG